TGTTTTGTAATCCACAGGCAATCTATCACATTGTATTTGGATCAGGTGAATCCAGTTTGCATTTTTAAAATTAAGCATATACATAAGGTGTATATACATACACACATATGCATATAAATAAAACACAGATCACTTGTACAAAAGACCTTCTATTTGGCTGGCCAGCTATTTAAGAATGAACAGGCCTCACCTTAAACATGATTGTTCATTTCTTTCTCCTATTAAAGCTCTTTACAGTAGTCCAGGAACAACTTATAAATTTGGTAAAGCAGAGTGGGGCCAAGATGGTGGAGTACAGGGAGCAACCCAGCAGAATTTTCCCAACATTCCCCTCCAAACAACTTTAAAATAACTCCTCAAATCAAATTTTGAGGTGGCAGAGCCAACAAAAGGCCAGGGTGAGACATCTTCCCAGCCCAAGACAATTCAGGAGGTTGCAAGGTCAAAAGGAACACTAGCACTCGTGTCTATAGGGGACCAGAGGTCCTTCCAGGGCAAAAACCAGAAGGAAGAACAGGAGAGTAGGGACCACACTTCTCTCTGGATCACACAACCTTGGAAGCACCAAGAACTTGCAGACCCCCAGAACTAGCTGTGAAAACAGCACTACAAAAAAGCCTGAAGCTTAGGACAGTACCCCATTCCCACCAGGTGAACAGAGCCCAACTTTGATATGAAGTTCAAAGTTAAGAAACAGGCTGTAAAAATGAGCAAATAACAACAAAAAAACTTGACCATAAAAAGCTGCTATGGTAGCAAAGAAGACCAAGACACAATCTCAGAAGACAACAATGTGAAAGCAGCTATAACCAAAGCCTCAAAGAAAAATGCTAATTGTACTCAAGCCCAACAAGAATTCCTGGAAGAGGTTTAAAAAAAATAGATAAGAGTGGTAGAGGAAATATTGGGGAAAGAAATGAAAGAAAATTATGAAGAGGGAATTAACAGCTTGGTAAAAGAAGCACAAAAAAGTACAGAAGAAAATAACACTTTGAAAAAACAGAATTGGCCTAATGGTAAAAGAGGCACCAATATGCACTGAAGAAAAGAACTCCTTAAAAAGAAGAATTGGCCAAATGTAAAAAAAAGGTGCAAAAGTTCACTGAAGAAAATAATTTCTTAAAAATTAGAGTTGAGCAAGAGGAAGCTAATGGTTCCATGAGACATCAAGAAATAATAAAACAAAATCAAAAGAATGAAAAAAATAGAAGATATGTGAAATATCTCACTGGAAAAACAACTGAGCTGGAAACTAGTTGAAATACAAAAAATTTAAGAATTATTGAATTACCTTGAAAGCCATGATTAAAAAAAAAAAACCTAGTGTTTGCCTTTATCCACCATTTTGCTAAGCTAAGTTTCAGCTGCTTGTAAGTCACTTGATTTTGGAGAAGTCACAAGATTACTCCCCCTCCCAAAAGTCACCCAACTTAAGGAATGTCAGAAGACAATTCCCCTCCCTTTCACCCCAGTGTCTCCCAATCCCCTCCTCCACCAACAGGAAACCAGGTGTCTCAATCTCTATATCCTGTTTTTCCTTTTTTTTTTTTCATTCTCTCCAAATTATATATTAACTGTGTAGGAACCAATGGTCAATTTCCTTGGCTACTGAGAGCCATGGACCTGATTTGTTTCTGCAAACATAGGTATGGTTAAATAAATTATTGTCTGGATGTAACTAACTACTTGGTCTTCATTCCATTGTAACACGGACATCATATTTCAACAAATTATCAAGGAAAACTGCCTCAATATCTTTGATATAGAGAGTAAAATAGAAATTAAAATTAATCCACCAATTACCTCCTGAAAGAGATCCCAAAATGAAAACTACCAAGAATATTATAGCCAAATTCCAAAGCTCCCAGGTCAAGGAGAAAATACTGCAAGCAGCCAGAAAGAAACAATTCAAATATCACGGAACCACAGTCAGGATCATACAAGATTGAGCAGCTTCCACATTAAAGGAGTAGAGGGCTTGGATATGATATTCTGGAAGGCAAAGGATCTAGGATTATAAACAAGAATAACTTACCCAGCAAAACTAGTATAATTATTCTGGGGGAGAAATTAGTATTTAATGAAACAAGATTTTGAAGCATTTTTGATGAAAAGACCAGAGCTGAATAGAAAATCTGATATTCAAACACAAGATTCAAGAAAAACATAAAAAGGTAAACATAAAAGAGTAATCATAACAGACTCAATTAAAGTTAAAATGTTTATATTCCTATATGGAAAAATGATACATGTAACTCCTAAGAACTTAATCATTATTAGGGCAGTTAGAAGGAATCTACATAGACAGAGGGCATGAATATGAGTCAATTTTATTGGAATGATATCTTCTTCCCCCCCCCCCAAAAAATGAAAGGATGAGAAAGAGGGTTGCACTGGAAGAAGGGAAAAGGAAGGGGAAGAGTGGGGAAAGTTTTCTCACATAAAAGAGGCATGCAAGGAAGAGTATTTATAGTGCAAGGGGAAGTAATGGAGGAGGCAGACAATGCTTGAACCTTGCTCTAATCAAAATTGATTCAAAGAGGGAATTTTATACACACACACACTCAGTTGGGTATAGAAATCTATCTTACCCAACAGGGAAATAGGAGGGAAAGGGGATAAGAAATATGGGGGGAAGGGGAAGGATAAAAGTGAGGGTGGATTAAGGGAGGCAATGGTCAGAAGCAAAACAGACTTTTGAGGAGGGACAAGATAAAAGGAGAGAAGGATAAACAGAAGAAAATAGGATGGAGGAAAATATACAGTTAGTAATCACTGTGAATGTGAATGAGATGAGCTCATCCATAAAACAGAAGGGGATAGCAGAATGGATTAGAAATCAGAATCCAACAATATATTGTTTACAAGAGACACACTTGAAATAGAATGACACACATACAGAGTTAAAATAAAGGGCTAGAGCAGAATCTATTATACTTCAACTGAAGTAAAAAAGGCAGGGGTAGAAATCAAGATCTCAGACAAAACAAAAGCAAAAATAGACCCAATTAAAAGAAATAATTAGGAAAACTACATTTTGCCAAAAGGTACCATAGACAATGAAGTAATATCAAAAATTTTCACAGCAAGTTTCTCTAATAAAGGCCTCATTTCTTAAATATAAACTGTGTACAGAACTGAGTCAAATTTATAAAAATAAGAGCCATTCCCCAATTGATAAATGGTCAAATGGTATAAACAGGCAATTTTTAGAAGAAGAAATCAAAGCTATCAATAGCCATATGAAAAAATGTTCTAAATCTCTATTGATCAGAGAAATGCAAATGAAAACAATTCAGAGATTCTACTTCACACCTAACAGAAATGATAAATGTTGTAGGGGATGTAGGAAAATTGTTGGTGGAGTGGTGAACTGGTCCAACCATTCTAGAGAACAATTTGGAACTAAACCCAAAGGACTATGAAACTGTGCATACCTTGTGATCCAGCAATACCACTACTAGGTCTGTACCCTCAAAGAGACCAAAGAAAAAGGAAAAGGATCTATATGAACAAAAATCTTTATAGCAGCTCTTTTTTTGATAATTAATTTACTTTCAGTTTTCAACATTCACTTCCATAAGATTTTGAGTCTTAAATTTTCTCCCCTCCCATTTTTCCCCTTTCCTCCACCAAGATAGCGTACAACCTGATATAGGCTCTACATATACATTTATGTTAAGCATATTTTCCCATTAGTCATGATATAAAGAACAATTAGAACTAATTGGAGGAACCATGAGAATGAAGCAATAAAACAAAACAACAAAGGAAAAGGAGAGTAAATAGCACGCTTCCATCTGCATTCAGACTCCATAGTTCTTTCTCTGGGTGTGGATAGCAATTTCCATCGTGAGTCTTTTAGAGTTGTCTTAGATTCTTGCATTGCTGTAAAGAGTCATGTCTATCAAAGTCAGTCATCCCATAATGCGGCTGTTACTGTGTACAGTGTTCTCCTGGTTCTGCTCATTTCTCTCTGCATTAGTTCATGTAAGTCTTTCTAAGTTTTTTTGAAGTCAGCCTGTTCATCACTTCTTATAGCACAATAGTATTCCATTACATTCATATATCACAACTTGTTCAGTCATTCTCCAATTGATGGGCATCCCTTCAATTTCCAATTCTTTGCCACCACAAAAAGAACTGCTATAAATATTTTTGTATATGTGGGTTCTTTCTTCTTTTTATGATCTTTATTTTTTTTGCAATAAGGCTAATATGGAAATGTGTTTTGCATGATTTTACATGTATAATGGATATAATTTTGTTTACCTTTTCAATAAGTGGGAAAGGAGTGGGAAGAAGGGAGAGAATTTGGAACTCAAAATTTAAGAAGAAAAGAATGTTTAAAATAAACGAGTAATAATTTTTTTAAAAAAAGATTTTAAAAATTCGGTGAAAAAATACAAACAAATGGCCAGAAGATACCTTGGTCCTACTACAGGCTATGAGAGGGATGGATAAAGTCTTTGAAGATCACCACAGAATGACCTCAATGAAATCTAAGAGCAGTCATCTTAATCTCGTGCAACTTTATAGGCACCTTCTGAGTATGGTGTCCCTAATGGCAGCACTACCCATTAATGATGGAATTTAGGGATCCCCAGTGAGTCTCTGGCTCATTGCCACCACCCAGATAAGCTGACACAGCCAAGCAATCAGCCACCTATCTTTATGAAGAATGATACACAGCCATCCCATGGTGGCACACTATTTAGAAAAAGCACCTTGCAAGGGATGAAACAAACCCAAGTATTACCAGCACAGAAAGCTGGCCTTGTAAACTGATAGCTATTTTCTGATTCCCTCTCTTTATGTAAGTGCTAACTGATCCTTAACTCAACAGATTTTGTCTACCTCCTCTAAAAAAAAAACAAAAAACTGCACATTCTATTGCTGCCCATATTCCTCAATCCTGGCTGAGAAACAAGATATCCATGTTAAACTTATTGTCAGTGCTCTCTGTTAGTAATCAAAAACTGGGAGGAGGCACTACTTACAAGTCTTAGCAACTGCTTCCACTGAATCCAAAATGGACTGATTTCTTGCACTGAGTTTTTCTTCTAACTTTTCCACTGATGTTTGCAACTAAGAAATTCAACAAAATCAAATTAGCTTGTTCATCAAACGTCACTTTCATTACAGAATTTTTATTAAGTCTTGAACAAGGAGGAGAAGCAAAAAAGAATAAAGACAAATACAGTAAAATCAGAAATCTCAATATTCAAAATATTTCCAACATTCTATTGCTTCTTTGAATGTGAAGACACTTACCCTGTGCATGCCTTCTCTGACATAGGAAATGAAGCTGTTTAGAGCCTCACTAAAATAGAGAGGAAAAAGTAAACATGTAAATACCTGTATGAGTTACTACAACTATCAGAAATGGAAAGGAGTTGATGAAGTATGACGTGGACAGTGGAATACCTCATATATCATCATAAAATCAGTGACTTGCTGGGAGCTCTTCAAAGACAGAAATAGGAAAGCATTAATTTCCAAATCTGAAGAAGATTTGGCAGCTTGGATGTTATTTGACTGCTTCAGAATTACTTAATCATAGGCTTTAGAGCTGGATGGAACCACAAAGGTCTTCCTACAGAGGAAACAGGTCTAGAGAGGGGACTAGGATTTGTCCAAGGTGATCCAGCTAGTAAGTGACAGTCTTACTTAACCATTTGGAAAAGGAAAATCACTTTTTTCTCTATTTTCCAGGTCCATATTTCAAAAATGAACTCAAGCTCACCTTCAAAAGGATCCTAAAAGGCTCCAAGCGACTCCTGGACTAAATTGCTTTTTTGATACCAAGTAAGAAAGACTAATTTGTCCCTCACTAGGTCCATGCTAGGTAAGAGAGGAAGTTTTCTGCTAAGTTTCAAACACATACATAGGTTTCTGACTTAGCATAACTTCTACTACAAGAAAAAAGGGCCAGTGATGACTTCAGAAAAAATTTCTGACGAAAAAAGATGTGCCATTATTTTCTGTAAAATTCCTGAAGAAATCCTATTATGGCAACATCTTTTATTGTTCAGTTGTTTTTCAATCGTGTCCAACTTTTCATGACCCCATTTGGGGTTTTCTTGGCAGAAATACTTGAGTGGTTTGCCATTTCCTTCTCCAGCTCATTTTACAGAAAAGAAAATTGAGACAAACAGGGTGAAGTGACTTGCCCAGGGTCACACAGCTGGTGTCTGAGGTCGGATTTGAACTCAGGAAGATGAGTCTTCCTGACTCCAGTTTGTATAACCCTACCCACTGTGCCACCTAGCTGTCCCTATGGCAACATCAACAACTAATTATTATTCCTGTTTTGTTTGATTAAGTACAATGATTTTGTTTATCTTTATCTTTTTTTTTAAACTGGAAGGTGGGGGAGGGAGAAATAATATTTTTTTAATTAAAATGAAAGATATTTTTTAAAAAGAAACAAATTTGTACTTATCTTGTTTGCTTATATGCATAGGTCTTAGTGCTGAAAAGGACTTTAGAAATCTTTTAGTTTAACTCCTTTTACAGAAAAGGAAACTCAAGTCTATGTAGGTGAAGAATTGTCCATGGTCACAGTAAAGAGCTAGAATATGAAGGTGGGTCTTCTGACTCCAAAGCCATTACTTTTTTCACTACTCTATATTTTATTTTGTATTATATTTACTGGTATGTGTTATATCCCTTATTAGATTATGAGACAGGATTGAGACTTATTTAATCTCTGTCACCTAGGAACCACTGTCAGCATTTAAAATTTTTTATGTAAAAATTTCTTGATGTAAAATGATTCTATTGAACTACAAAGGTTTGGAGGTGGGATAGGAAAAATTTTTAAAAATAAACATGTTTTCATTTGGAAGAAATAATTAAATTACTTGAAAATTATTAAAGCAGGGAGAGAATGATTTTTGGAGAGTTTCAACAACACTATATAACTATTATTGGACCTCCTCCCCTCTATGATCCAGCCAAACTGGACTTCTCTGTTCTTCAGACATGACATGCCTTCTTCCATCTCTGTGCCTTGGTCTGGTTGCCTACCTGCTTGGAATGTACTCCCTCCTTACTTCACCTCATTGAGGGTTTTGGTTTTTTTTCATCAAAACCTTACCTGAGGGCACTCTGCCTAAAGGAGTATAGATTTTGATGGCTGAAACCTCATGGGATATGTTGGAGTTTAAAGGCTGGATTTCTTTTTTTTCTCTTCCCTACTTATTTATTCTATGATTTTTGAGGGGGGAAAAAACTGGGACAAATTGACTCTTTTGCTCCTTGTAGTCTCATTTATGATTCCTTGAAATACAGCCTTGGAAGACCAGGCTTTGATAAAGCCCACTGGGAATCAAATGGAGTTACTTGATCAAGCCTTAAACCCAAATCACTCTGGCTCTCACTGATTGGTCAACAATAGGTCCCTCCCCAAGCCTCACTTGGTCATTGTTTGGGTGGTGATGGCTCAAGAGTGAGTGTAAATAACAATTGTATCTGTTTTGGCCAGAAACCCTGAGAGTCTTCCCCTCCCAGATTGATTTTTTTTTTTTTAACCAGGTAAAGAGGCCATTTTTTGCCTCCTTTCTTACCTAACCTTAATCACTGAATACATATTGCCTCAGACAAACTGAGACCTGGGAAAGATCTTAGCTTAAAAAGGCCATGGTCTCCCACTGGATGGCCCATCCCGGGCCATCTCCAGTCATCTTGATCTATATCTTGCCACTGGACCCAATGGAGCAGGAGGAGAGAGTTAGGCTGGTGACTTGGCATAGCCTGGCCTCACTTAAATCCAATTCATTTGCAAGTCAAGACATCACCTTTCCAGTGTCATTGGGCCTCTGAGAATGAAGGACAGACAACAACAACAAGATAGAGGGGATCTTCCTTTAAGATACCTCAACATCTTTTGCACAAAGTCTTTCCTGATCCACCCCCCCAACTGTGAGTTCTCTCCCTTCCAAACTATCTCATATTAAATGACTTTGTATGTGTTTCTATTCATTTGATGCCTATTCTTTATATGCTTATACAAGTACTTGTCTCCCCTCCTAGAATTCTAAGCTCCATAGAGCAGAGATTGTTTCATTCTCTGTACCTTGTATACAAAACACAGTGTCTGGTACATAAAAAGGGCTTAGCAAATGTTCGTTGATAGATTAATTAAAAGTAAAAACTGAATCACACCACCAGACATGGACTGATTCTTTATTCTCAGAACATTATTCTAGATATTCTAGCACTGTATCTGAAAACACTATCTGTATACCCATACCTAAAACTAAATCATAAAAAAGAACACTCAAATTCTTTCTACAATTGTTATAAATATGATTTGTGGATTCCCTTAAGAATCCCGTTAAGAATTCTCTTAAGAATCCTCAAGCCTATCAATTTGGAACTTCAACGAGTCACTACAGACTATTAAAATAATAAAAGCTCACATGTATATAGGCTTTAAGCCCTTCCACATAGTCTCTCATCTGATTCTCACAATAATCCTATGACATAGGTGCTATTACAATCCTCATGTTATGGATTAGGAAACTAAGGTGGAAAGATTAAATGTCTTGTCTAGAGTCATGCAGCTAATAAGTGTCTGAGACAGAATTCGAGCACAGATTTACCTTGCTACAAGTCCATACTCTATCCACTATACCATGCTGCTGTTCAAAAGACACCCACAAAACATGGCAAAAACAGCAAAAACTGGATAATTGCTTATAATGGAGGCTAATCAGGGGAGTCTTTGGTCATTCCCTTTGATCAGTTCCCTGATTTACTTGATGACATCACAAATCATTGGCCTTAAGATAATATTACAGGTTAGAGAAGGTAAAGAGGACAGTACAAGGTGAAGTAGATAGAATGCTGTACCTGGAGTCAAGCCTCAAACATTGGCAGTACGACCCTGCCTATTTCAGTTTCCTTATCTGTAAAATGAGAACAATAAAAGCTCCTATCTCCCAGAGTGTTATAAAAGATAAAGTTAGATAATATTTCTAAAGAGTTTTACAATACTTCAAGCAATATATAAGTGCTAGCTATTATTATTATGGGCATCTCCTATGGAGCGTGGCATAGGCCCTAATACCTTTATGAAAAAACACAGGGAAGATCTCCGTGTGATCCTCAATATCTGAAGCTGCCTCCTGATGACTGACTAACTGAAGTCCAATAGGACAGACTTTTGTCTGAGGAACTGGTTCTACAAGAACCTGAGGAGGGGATCTCTCTCCTCTACCTCCAAACAGCAGCATCAATGGCAACTTACAGCAGATACACATGGCAGTGGGAGATATCTGCTTATACCCAGATTTCCCAATCCTGGATTCTTTCCTCTGCTTTGCTTTCCTTTGGGGGCATAAATTAGAGATTATCAATCCTAAAAATAATGTTTCCAGTTGGCGGGTTACCTCATGAGCAATCCTGAGTTTGAGAGTCAGGTACTAGCTGCCCTGAGGGGAATTTTCTTACCACATGCTTTGGGGAAAATAGGACCACCAAGAGGAGACCCTAGAGCTAAGGAATAAAGCCATGTCATGAGGGGCCAGGAGATCTGGACCTTGCCAACCCTCCATGATCTTGCTGTGAGTAGCTTGCACGGTAGACATCTAGGGTAAATGGGGAGGATTTGTTCTGTACAAAGTGTCTTTACCATCTAAGGGAGTATAATGAGCTCATCAAGTGCCTTATGTTTCCTATATTTGTTCATTCATACTTAGGAATCTTTTCTATCTTATGAAGTTTCTGTGGTAGAGGAAATAAAGGCTGTCCCAGAGCTTATATACATGATGTATACTCAATTCTTAACCTACCTTTGTGGTGGTTATAGACCACAAATAAAGAAACCCAGACACAGGTCATATTTAAGCTTTGTTTTAGAGATTTCTGCATAATTTTATTTTAGAGTAGAACATAATCAGAAAAAAATTGACTCCTCTGGGTTTATATTAGCCCAGAGGCCTTGTAGGGCACTGAGGTGTCATGTTTGGGGGTTGTGATTAATTAGATTGATTAGCGCTTCCTTGATCAACTCTCATTATATGTATATTCAAAACTCATTTTATAACACCATACTAAAGAATAAGTTGCTTAGGAATATTAATTTTCACTGCTTTTAGGGAATCCCTATTCAGGTATAGGCTAGACTAGGACCCTAAGTTTCCAACTCTGAGATTCTGTGATCTATCCATTGAAGAATTTTTTTTCTATTCAAAGAAAAAAAAACTATTACTGTGTCTAAAAACTCATAGGCTGTCAGTATAACCTAACATCTTCTATAAGAAAAAGAACAAATTAAGATATTCTGTTAGTGTATATGAAAACAAAGTTATATCT